CAAATGTTTGTCACAAGCCCACCATTCGGTTTCACTCCGTACCGAGCGGATTACGGCAATGCACAATGCAAGAGTCCATCAATGTTTGTGTGTTTTTTTAGCGACTTTGGGGTTGCCTAATCCCGTGATAGAGACCTCAGGCATGAAGTGGGAGCCATGAACACTTCAGGGGAATGCGCTGCTCCAATTGACGATAGACTTGCCCGGGCATGACCAGGTCCCACCCCCAGCAGCGGCCCTCAGTTGGACACGCCGCGTCACACCGGTGACACTGCCAGGTGTCACAGACAGAGGCAGACACGTCATTCAGTATGATTCCATCCAACCACAACAGTTACTGACGATGTGTTCACATGTGGCCGGCTGCGCCAAATACCGTATCGGGCAGCCTACAATCGTGTCTAAAATAACTGCTTGGCAATCTGACACCGTAGAGCATCACGGCACGGTACGGCACGGCACACGGCACGGCACGGCACACGGCACGGCACAGCACGGCACCGGCACCGGCACCGGCACGGCACGGCACGGCGCGGTACGGCAGTTGAGCTCAGTGGCCCACTACCGTCCTGCCCGGGTGGCTGACATTACGCCTCCCCCCAGGTGCCCCTTCCTGTGACCTCGGCGGGGAGGGGAGGGGGGGGGGGTGCACCTGAGCCTGTGTTGCCGGTGACCAGGCGCAAGGAGCGGCCGGCCGGCACCGCCGCCAGCGCCGCGTACAGCTTGGCCATGCTATCGGGTAGCGACCACTGCGCTTCGCCGGCCGCCATCGGCAGCGCCCGGGGACAGCCGGCGCAACGGGAGCGCCGCCGCCGCCGCCGCCGGCCGCCAGCCGCACGCGCCTCCCACTCGGCTTTACAGAGGCGACCGCGTCCTGCCGAGGGAGAGCGGGTCAGCCAGGGACGGGGGGGGGGGGGGAGAGCCAGGACAGCTGCTCGGGCGTCAGACTGACGCCCGTCGAACTCCGTGCCTGACCCATACTGGTTCCCGACAGGTTCCGAGCGTGCACGACCCAGCCGCCTGGTCTGGGCGGGGTTTGCAATGACCCCCGGCAGGCCGGGTTACGTAAGCCTCACCGCGGAGCCAGCAAGCAACAAACAACGGCCGGAGTGTTGAAGCATTCGCGTGTGAGGTTGCGTGCCCTGCGGGACAGAGAAACACCTTTCACAAGAACATCGTGGAGTTAGATGATCCGAGAGGGATGAGGAGCAGAATGCGGCCTTTACCGTCCGCATGTCCAGACGCCCAGACTGGTCTGATCTTTTTGAGTATTTACTGCTACAAAGGCTGTTGGCAGCCCCTAACAAATTTGAATGACCAGCTGTGTGTCTCATGTATAGGCCATACCATATTTGTCTTATTCCATATATTAGCCTGGATAAATGCTTTCATAATATGGTTCATGAGTTTAAGCGATATAAGATAAAACTTTGGGGCTTATATACCAATCGCCTGTGGACACAAAACAAGAAGGCAGCTCTGCCAGCTTTAGGCTTCTAGACCGTTGAGAAAGCTGTGACAGGTATATGTATACATACAGGCCTACAAACATATCACCGCAAGCTTCGCAATTCCGTCAACATATTTGTGTTGATTAGACGGTGTTTCCACCGTCAAGTAAAGGGAACGACCGTTCATAGCCAGCGGACACACGCCTCGCGCATTGTAAAGCTCAGTTGGACGGAGGAAAAATACGCTTTCTCCATCTGTGTTCGACCGCGGTACGGACCAGGTACTGTCCGTCTCGAGGGTTACAGTTGGAAATCACCCACTGCTGGGAACCAGCAGGCCAGAAACACCAGACCACCTAAGGACGAGGGTGATAACGTCGCTAAAGCAGCTGCCGATGGCTAGTCAAGCTTTTGAGGTAGATCAAAAGCATGAAGAAGTTCCACGGCAAAAACAAGCTTTGAAGTAAAGTTTAACACTTTGGGGTGGGGCACAAATTACTTTGTGTACCGTTGACGTAGACTGAAATGCGGTAGCACACGTGTGACATTTCAGGGCATTGGCTAGCGTCATGGTGACGCTGATGATCTGATGAAGACGCTGGCGATCAGCGTCATGATGACGCTGATCACCATGACACTGAGTGGCCGGCGTCATGATGACGCAGCGAGTCTATCAGAGGTGACTGGCCGCCTGGAATTCCAAGAGCGCTTCTTGGCGCGGGACATAGTTCAATCTTCGCTGGGAGCGCGGTCCAAGATCGGTCCGAGATACTCAGCTATCAAACAGAGCGTGAGATGGTGTTCGCCAGCTTTGAGGAGAAATAGGGGCTGGGGGAAACATCTTCCCTGACTTCCGAGCAGCATTGACTGTGTTTCGTCTACATTACCTTCTACACCATAGATTCTGAACCCAAGTCAAGTGATGGCAAGACCGCTCCGCACGAGCGATGACACTTTTTATTGTGATTTGGGGTCAGCGACAAAAAGGCGGGCGTCAATCGTGTACTGGACCACTACGAAACCCTCAGCGAGCAAACTGAGGTCGTTCGCAAGCACGCGGAGGAGGAGCGGGCGCAGCGCGGATTCCTTCAACATCCAGATGCTGTCCGAAAGTCTGAAGCTTTCCATTAGTTCAATTTCTAAGTGATGGTGACGCTTTTTTGACGCTTGTCACGTAGAAGATGGTCCCGAAAACCGAGATGAATCGATTCCGCACGAGAATAACTCAGCACGTAGTGCGGAATAGCTTATCACATCGAAGCAACCGCAAAAGTCAAGGAGGCGGCAAATAACCAGCGACATTTCAGAGGCATTGACATTTCCCCACGGCCAGTCGTGGAAACATGTGGCCGAACACGGATATCGAATAACTTTACGTCACGCGATGAAAACAGAGACCATGCTGAAGGTCAAAGCCGCTGCTGTGACTATGACAGTTACCCGTCGAGTCGCTGATGGACGCACGCTCCCATTGCCGGGCCGATGGACACTGAACGATACTTGGATGGCTTGGTGTGGTCGCCGGACTTGGAAAACGGCACGACCATGGAATGTTTCCCAGCTGCAGTGACTTCAGACACGAGGATGCTCGAGCTGACCAGGTGAGAAACATCCCGCCCCGGTGGTGGCGAAACTGAGCCAAATCAAGGCACAAATACCTCACAATTCACAACGCCCAGTCAGCGCAACCAAATTTACATCAGTGGGAAAATCAGACAACATATTATTGCCAGAACATATTGTTTTCACCCGTTTCTACCACTTCAGGATTTTGGTTACGTTTGGAGGGGCAGAGACAGCACGGAAGCGGGGCCAAAATGGGCAAAAAGATTTGCCCATGTTATGATCAGGCTCTCACCCAGACATTTTTTTGAAGGTGGTGAGGCTGATAGTTGATAATTCTATAGGTGGTCGTCATCTTTAGGTGCATAGGTGGTCACACCCTAAAGCCCCACCAGTGAGATACCCAGGATGTCGCTGAAATCGAGCG